AGTGCAGGGCCCGGGGCAGTCACCCCAATTCACACCCCCAAGGGACGGCTCTGCTGCTCAGCCCCGTTATGGTCCCTGACTCCTACATGGCTTTGTGCAGGTGCCTCCGGGTGACCCTGTGGCCTCCGTGCCACCCCCATAGCTACAGTCCAGTCCTCTGGTTTCAACTTAATACAACACAAGGACAAGCAACCGTTTTCAAAAAAATCTCCGCCCACGCTGGGTTTATGTCATCCTGCAAGCCCGAACTCCTTTTGGGCTCTCACCTCCCAGCTCCCATGGGTGGCTTGGGTGCTTGCCAGGCTATTTCAACCCTCCCTCCCTAGAGCTCTGCTCCCTGCAGCATGCAGGGGGCCAATTGCCAACTTGCTTCTGGTGCTGGGTTTATATGCTCTGGAGGTGTCACCTTCCAGTCAGGTGAGTCCCCAGTCAGGCACAGGAGGTCTCTCTTGGGCTTTATGATCAGCTTGCCCCTCCTTATTGCAGCTCAACCCAGCTCCTTGCAGCCTGCACCGTCAGGCTGTCTGCAATCTGCCCCGCACAGCCAGATTGTTGCAGTGCAGCTAGCTCCCATTCCTCTGCCTGCCTACACCGCAAGGTTGGCCTGTGGCATTTTTCCCTTAAAATAACAGGAGCCTCTGGCTCCGTTACAGCTGGATTTACAACTTTAGACTGCACCAGCTCATACTTGATCACTGGCTGTTGCCAGTGCTTTCCTGTGCATTTCTAACCTGTGCAATGCTACCAAAGCTAAGCTGTTGTACTTTTTTACAACAGCCTCTGTGTGTTATCTCCCCAGTGCACTGGTTGATTGTGCCAACTCATTTGAACTGATTGATTCTTCTTAGAGAAAGTTTCCCATATTTCTTATTTATGGATTTTAATTATGCGTCTGGGCAAGCTGCAATTGAATTAGTTTGAATTAGTAGGTATTATAACTGTTCTGCCAAAATGCCTCCTGTTGATTGCTGCTACCCAGTATGGTTGTATAAGATGATATAAAGTAACTGCCTTTTGAAATAGACCACTAGGGAACAAGTCCTCTGGGTGTTATCTCCATCCATGTAACTTGCTTAATTAAATGCATGATAATATTCTGATTTACACAGGCAGTAAATTTAGGGTTTAATTAATCTCTCACTGAACTCAGTGGCAAAACTACCAATGACATGAATGGAAATGGAATATGGCACTAAGTTTCTGAACCTCCTGAGGGGGATATGTGTTCCCAAATCTTTTTTTCACAATATCCCACTCATGAAGCGCTAAGGTTTGTGCTTGCAGCTCCCTTTATGGTCTCAAGGCCTTTGGAAATGTAATGTCAATCTGAAGGATTAATCCTCTGGGAAGAAGGGTACTGTAAAGAGCTGGGTAGGGGGTAGGGGAGAGTTGTTGGTCACGTTCCATTTAATTTGAGTAGCAAAACTATCATTGCCCAAATAATGCTGGATCAGTTGCTTTGATAGTAGCCAAGAGCCAGTAATTCTTCAGCTTGTGTCCAGAGGTTGAACCCTGTTTTCTGAATGTGCAGTCTGCAGTGGGATTCCTCCCTCCCCTAGCCTACTGTTCATTTTGTCTAACTCTTCTGGCCTAGACAGACCAGCTATGGAAATAAGAGGTTGCCCGATCTCCATTCGTCCTTGGTCTATTCTCAGACTTCTTACAACCTTGCTTACTTGGGCTGGGTTTTGTGAGGCAGGTAGGACATGTGTCTCAGGAACTGGAGTGAGATTGCCAGTCTCGTTTTATTGGCGAGCGATAACCACTCATGGAAACACAGATTAGTAAATGACCTTTATCAGTCCGAGCTGAATTTGAGCAGGAGGTGATAGGCTGTATGTTTTATATAGTTGTAATTTTTTGCAGTTGTCTCCTCTCTAGCTATTTCTAAAGAGCATGTTGCCATGGTATTACATTCAAACCTAAGTCTGAATTTATTCTGAATAGACCGATCACTTAAAAACATTTTTAAAAAATTGTTCCTTGCACTTCCATGAGGACACAGTATTGCACAATAAAGTGCAACGTGCATTTTAGGCCTTTCTTGCACACCTTCATGTTTGGTCATTACTGAATGTAGGGATCTGAGGCAAAAGGCGATTTTGTCTACTTTGGGATGGCAGTTCTATGTTTCTCTCAGATGTATGGTGAAGGAGCAGGACCACGAACTTAAGATGCATTTGAAAAGAAGAGATGCCTTGGGAACAGCTCATCTTTTGCTTCTGATATTTTTTACATTCAGCAAACTCTAGGAACTGAGGTAAGAGGTTGGTGTATTGCTTACCACCATATCACTAAGCTCTTGGTTTATTTCTTTGGTATCAGAAGCTAAAACCTGTGCATATTGCATCAACCTTTGTACCACTTGCATGATCTTCTCCAATACACAGTTTTTTGCTAGAGGATTGGGGCTATTAGTGAGGATGGCTCAAAGTTTGGAGCTCCAGCTTGGAATTCAAAATATCTAAGTTAATTTCCTTTCTTTGTCATGCAAATTTATCACAATTTTATTTTAGTCACATAATAAATCCTCAAGGAATCATAGACATTGGGATAACTACTTAATGAATACCCTGGCATATAGCAGTAGTATGAGACCTGAATTGGGTGCCCAGGCTCCATATACAACAGAGTGCTTAAAAAAGGATCTTCTGAAACCAGTTGAGTTGTCTAAGTTAGTCAACAGTGAAAAGGGTCAGGGAAGTACCTTCCTTTGCTCATTAGAGGGCTAAGCTGTGAGCCTTCTTCTAGAATTAGGCTCCAAGTCCCATCTGTGAAAAACTTGATAGAGAGACCTCCTCCAACCCTGAAAGCAAAGTAGACTGCTTTATTTAATTCCAAATGTCCCATAGCCTGCTGGTTTGAGTGCTTGCTTCGAATGTGAGAAACATTGGTTCAAATCCTACTGCTCTATGATTCAGACTTGAATCCATATTCCAGGCTAGTGCCATTACCACCAGGCTCTTGGACATTCTTGTTAGGGCTGCTGTCAGTATTTTATGGTGTAGCTTTGCTTACCTTATTAAATATTTATTGGACCACTTCAAGCACCTGAGCCTCATTCTTCCAGTTCCCAAGTGAGTGCCATGACCATTGAACCAAAGGCACAGTCTCTCTCACTCGGGCCAAATGATTATTTATTCAAAATGTATAGTTGCAACAGAAGAGAGCAGGAACTTGGATCTCAGACTCTCACATCCCAGGGATATGCTCTAAATGATGTGTCAGTCTGGGGTGGGACTGAGAGATGGACAGTAGCTTCCACTTTGAGAAGTACATTTCAGAGCCTTTGGGACGCTAGCTTAAATTACCATGGTTTTATACATTCACATTTGCTAAAGCTTAGGTACCTTTGGGCAGAAATTTGAGGCTTGTTTAATTGCAGTGTTTCTAAAATAGGCATTCCTAAATGTCATTGTGTGTCGATACAATTGTCCCAGAATATTCCAGTGTAGTTTAATCTTCCTTCAAAAGCATAATTGCACTTTAAATAGCTAAAATCCTTTGGTTTAAATGTAAAGTGTTAGGCAGAAGCTTGAGCTTGTGCTTTGAAGATATCAGTGAGGGATTTAGGTAGCAGGTGTAGGTGCCTAAAGAGAGAAATAGGTGACTATGTACTTTGAAGATCTTGGCCTTTGTCTCTTTTTGTCTCAGTTCCCTAACTGCAGAAGGAAAGGACAGTACTCTCTTGTCCCAGAGGCGTATTACAGGGATGTAAGCATTACAGATCGTGAAATGCTGAACTATTATGGTAGCGGAAGCTTAACAGATATGGTCCAAGGACTGAAAGAAAGACTTTTCCACTTCTTCAAATCTGGAAACGTGAACAGCTTCCCAGTAACTTGAGAGATACCAGAATTGTTACCATATTCAAGAAAGGAGATCGATGAGATTGCAGTAATTTTTGTGGTATTGTAGTCCTTTCCAGAGCTGGGAAGATCCTCACCTGTGTTCTTCTCAATACACTCACTTTTCTTGCCAAAGAGATTCTAAGCAAGTCCCGGTGTGGTTGCAGACCACTCAGCGATATCATAGTGATGTCTTTGGAAAATCCTCCATATCAGCTGTAAGGACAGAAGAATGAATGCCAGTGCTCGGGCTCACGTAAACACCACCAGCATTGAAGCCATGTATATACAGCACCAACTCCTTCGGACAGGACCTGTCATAAGAATGCCTCCCAAGTCTCACCAGTGGTCACTGCTCTAGAGGTAGGCTAAGGAAGAGACACAAAGACACCTTGAAGGCCAATCTGAAGAAACGTGATATTAACATTAATTTGTGGGAGCTTGAATCAGCACTGAATCATCTCTAGTGGTGCTGTGACGTATAACAGGGAATCAGCGATTTAGAGCAAACGCCTCACTGTGGAGGCAGACAGACGAGAGAGACCAAGGGAAAATGCTGTGACCTGACATCACCAGGACCTGCTTCATCTTTCCAGAACTGTTTGCCACATCTGCAGTCAAACATGGGTTGGCCTCCTCAGTCATCTACAGGCTCACCAGTGACTTCCCTATTTACTGGAAGACTGTCATCCTCATGTCGAGGGACTGCTGCCACTGACAGAAAAAATGTACTTTTTTCCTCTGTGCTATACTTGTTTTGCATTTGTGGGACTTTTCCCTGAAGCTGTAGGGCTTTGCTTTTTTTTCCCCTCAAGAAGGCACTGCTTCTCCCTGCTCTTCAGACTCATTCCCATCAGATCTGTAAACAAAACAGGCAGCCCTTCTCATTCCCCTTGCCCTCTATGTAGATTTTCACAAGCCAAGCTTGGCTTGATGCCAGTTCATACAATTGGAGAAAGGGGCAAAAATAGCAAGCAATTGCCAAATGGCTAATTGGTAGCAGCCTGGAGTGAACAGCTAGCTGTACAGCACATGTTAATATATTTTTCTTGAAATGTGCAGTTAAGCTTCATTCAGGCTGCTGACAGATGTGTGAAAAACCAAAAAAAAGCACTTGACCGGAAGAACTAGCATGTTAGTTCAACTCAGCTCCCCAGCGTCTGTATAGATCACGTGCTTCAGCATTTTGGGGGCTTTTATCTAATAGCTGATTGAATCAGCTATTAGATAAAAGCCCCCCAAAGCCCCACTGAAGTGTGTGGTCTATACAGACGTTGGGCAAGCCGGGTCAAATTAACACGATGCCTCTTCTGGGCATGTGCTGTGCTCAGTGCAGGGGCATGTGGCATTTAAAGCTCTGTTTTGGTTTGGTTTTTTTCACATCTGTAAATAGTCTCTGTCATAGCCTATAGAACATATTATTTCTGTAATATATATGGATTTTTCTATGACATGGAGAAGATTGTGAAAACATTTTTTCTTTTGGCACAGCAGAAAGCATTGCATGACATTCGTGGCTCAACTACACTTGTAAAATGACTTCACCAGGTAACCAGCAACTTTGGCTTATGAAATAAGATAAGCACCACCAAAATACCGATTCTCAGCATGACTGAAAAAGATGAGAGTAGGACTGACAAAAAAGCCAGTGTTGGTTGTAGCCCCGTACAGTATTCTTGGAGTTCCTGATCTTTGCTTAGCAATGCAATGAAAAGTTCGAATTGCTGAAGTGCAGGTGACTGATGTAATTAATTAAAAAATAGAACAACAAGGCAGAGGACTTTTAATAAGCTGTTGCAGATTGACTTGTCCTAAGGTGTTCAAATGATTTCTTGTGATAAAAATATCGTCCTGCTTTCCTTGCAGCATCTCATTTGGGTAATTAATATGTCAACAGTCAAACCTGCCTATACCAAAAATAAAATGGAAAGAAATGCGATTATGGATAAGTATTTTTAAAAGTGACTTGTGGTTATTTTATTTGTGTTAGAGCAGGGAGATTTTTCCAAATGCACAAATGGGAAGCAGACACCTAGGGCGCTTATACACGTGCATCAAGGCTGCTCCAATGCGCTGTAAATTACACAAGAAATTACCACAGGAAATCATTTCAACACCTTAGGACAAGTCAATCTCCAACAGCTTATTAAAAATGTTCTGCTGTGCTGTTCTATTTTTTTTTAATCACTGCACTCTAGCAGACTCCAGTGTCACGTGTGTCAGTGTCTCCGCACTTAAAAATGGCGGCAGGGGTGCTTTAACTAAAGCTCATTGAGTGCTTTAACTAAAGCTCCCCTCCACCATTTCTCAGCATGGGGACACTAAGACACATGATGCTCTGGGCACTTTAATTAGAGAGGCTTTCAGAGCCGGAGCACATGTATAAACGCCCCCAGCTTTCCTAGAATATGATGGGCATTTACTATATCTGCTTGAGTATGAGATGACCCTGATTCTAAGGCATTTCCCCAAGGAATTTGTTTCCTTCCCACTGCTACAGCACAGAAAATAAATCTGGGGTCATGTACCCCGCTTTCCCTCTGCTTCCCTTCAACTTCTTCCTCTTGCAGCCCCTTCCCCATCTCCCTTCTATCAGACTCTGCTCTCCTGGAGTGCATGGAAGTAAGAAGCAAATCTGAAAAAAACACCCCAGACTTTGAGATTAAACATAACTGTAGTAATTTGTGTATGTAGTATCCATGGACTTAATGTATCCAGAATTGATGTATTTACCTTTCTTGAAACTGCTGCAAGTTTTACCGCACATACTCCATAAACATACTTTTAAGCGGCAGTTTGGCACCTCGTTATATATAGAACAAACTGCATGATGTTAGTCCAAAGCCAAAAGCGTAATGATTTACCATATAGCTCATTGGGCTGGGGCTCACCAGAGTTAACAGCATAACTCAGCCAACAGCCCTACTGACCCCACTGCTCAGTATGTGTCTGTATTCCAGACACCCCCCACAAAGGATCCATGTGCTAATTAGTACCCCAGTCATGATTGGAACCAGGTGTTCTTGTTACATGTCCTACGATCCTCCAAAAATTTATATGTTGATGAGGCACAGGGCAACCTAGTCTGGTTCTACCTCATAGAGGGTGGAGCCACACTAATTATACGACAAGCTGAGAGAGGAGGTGACAGAGGGATTCTGGCTGAACTGTTTGGTGCCCCATTTGGTGATGTTTGCCAGGCATTTAAGGCTGGTGAAGAAACAAAAATCATTGGAAATGGGAAAGGAAGGTGCAGATCAGTTGTGGGAGTGAAGAAGTAAAATGTATGCCTAGTGGTTCACCATGACTTGAAAAAGAGGGGGACTGTGCTAAACGGGCACTACCATATATCTTATTTAAATGGGCTGAACTAACCTATCCTCAAGAGAAGGATGTTAGAGCTGGCTTAGGCTTAGCTGCTGGCCTGGTATTGCAGTACCCCCAGGCCCAATAGCAGTTCCCTGCAGGGGGAACACCCACCCATTTTTTTAGGGGACACACACACACACACACACACACACACGAAAAAAAAAAAGGTTTCCATCAGCATGTTTGCCCAGCATGGGCCATGTATTTTGTAGGCATGCTCAGTGTTGATTGCATTTAATCAATGTCATGGTTGGTTTCTATTACTGAATACCTGTTGCTTTTGGCAGCAGTTTGGTGCTAAGCATTGTATTTAGCAAGGTTTCCTTTAAGACAACTGCATTTTATTATGTTTACTCAAATACAATTTTCATTTGTGCTTTTGCAAATCCCCCCTTCATGGAATGATCTTTAGATTGTGCAACCCAGATCCATGGGCAGAGCTCTTATAAGTCAGTAGGGCAAGAGAACTTTTTGGGTGGGAATAAAAGTTGTTTTGTAGCAAACCAATAAACACAGAGACCTGAGCTGTTTTGAAATTGAGTCTTCAAACAAGGTTATAAGATCTTAGTGAAAACAGTTAAAAGAAAAGGTACAAAATAAAAATGTGCCTTTTACAGATAATTTTTGTCTTTTCTGTCAATCTTACTCTGACACTGAACGAGATAAACAGCCCTCAGTAATTTAAGTTTAATACAATATCAGTGGACTTGTACAATATACTATGTGACTCATCCCATTTTGAAAAGATCATTTTTCATTAAAGAATTTGAAAGTTTCAAAGTCAAGTGCTAAACAAGTTAAAAATGTCAGAACTAAGGGTATATCATCCACCCTTCTGACTCTTGCCCTGTGCAAATGCGTTGGGGCCAGTCATAGTTCAGTCTGTAGGACTGTCTCCTCCGACTTCAATGTGCTCTTGGTTAGGCCCTGATGCAGCCTGTTATTACATGTTCAATAGCAATTTATTCCACAGCACACCTGCTTTATTCACTGTACAGGTTGATGTTTGCAAAGCAAAAAGGTAGGCATTTAAATAAAATTGGTCTGATTTTTGGAGGTAGTTAAGCATCCATGGACCCAATGAAATACTTGATGTAATATTTATGTTTCTTTATCTCAGTGGCTGGCCTGCATTTCATAGAGGCTGTGGCCTTGAACTCAGGGCTCTGGTTTGTATGGCATGGCTGCTCATCCCAGTCTGCCCCAACAGAACATGGGCAAACTTCATAGGTGGGCCTAGCCACACGCCCACTGCCTACCAATGGAGTGGCTAGCCTAACCCTTCTAATATAAAACCCTAACCTGAAAGAGGAAGTGTCTGGCCAACTAGGTTCAACCTTATACCCTGGCTGTTACATCCTTGGCCTGTGCTGCTACTGGCTTCCTGACAGACTTTCCAGATACTGGACCCAGCTTGCTCACAGATTCCAAGTTTGGCTTAATGCTCTGGATACCTGATCCAATTCTGGTTTGCTGTCCGACCTGGCTAGTCTCCTGACCCCATGGACTGCCTGAGCCTCTGGACCTCTGACTGGGTTCCCAAGATGGATCTCCTGGGTTCTGGCTTCCTAGCTTCTCTTCCATCTGACTTGGCATGTTCCCCTTGGACATTGGCTGCTTCTCTTGACCCTGAAATGACCCTTCAGACCTGGCTTCAGTCCTGGCATGACAGGCTGCCCTGAGAAAAGCTGGATTCTGCAAGGTTTAATCACTTGAATCAATGCAATCACACACACAAGGATTACAGATCAAAACCAAAGAGACTAGGATCCTGACTAGGACAGATGGATGAAGGAAAATATATAAAGTTGTGTTCCCCTTTCTCTTGGATGCATCACATCCAAGAGAGAGAGAAAGGGATGCAGGCATACACACCTTTCTTGGAAAAAAAATTGAGAGGAAATGTTAAACATCACAAGTATAGATAGCTTTTCAACTATGCCATACATTTCCTTCCCTATATGAGGAATATTCTCTTTAGATCACATAATGGTTGATAAATTGGGAGAATTTCACAACTGGAAGAATAAACTCTGGAAAAACAGTGTATCTTGGTTACAGAGAAAACAACATAGCACTTAAACATAAGTGGCAGAATAACTGTACCACTGGTATCTTTTTTGTGCACAGAAAAGATGAAAATCCCAGTCCAGCCAGGCCTCAGATTTTATTCATTTTGAATACGTAACTAAGAGTCAAAATAGCTCCTTTTCATGGATTTTAAAGCTAGAAAGGGGCCACAGTGATCAAGCCTAATTTTTTATATAATTCCACTGTAATTCCTGCAATGTTTCCCAATTCATGTAATGTATCTGTTGTTACTGTTGAAAACCATTTCAACAGTAACAATAAATACATTACATGATCCAATAAAGGCCTTGTTTTGCCTCATGTTTAATCTCTTGTTATAAAAATGTTTCATTTTTAGATTTCATTATGAAAACCCCTTAACAGGAAATATTCATACTCAAGTATCAGTCTGTGCAAGACAATTTTATATGGTTTGTTTATGAAAACTGAATGTGAGGCATTCTGTCTGCTGGTTTTTCAGCCAACCATATCCATGAGGGTTGTAATCTGGAGTCACATGCTGTAATGTGCTCCCATGTCCCTTTCTAGAATGTAATAAATTCTCATAAGATACTGTAATCACATCTTGCCCTGTGATCTTGATGGAACTGTCATGATTTAAAGCCTTTTGAAACTTCTTCTTCAATAAACCTGAGTCCTGAGAGAGAATACTTTGGATACCCAAAGGCTTGTCTATGTCCATCCCAACCATTCA